AATAGCAAATCCTTCATAAAAGTTATTGCATTATATTCTTGATTGAATGATCTTTCCATTGATATATAATTTTATGGTACTACTCCAAAAAAAAAAGTGGTGTTATTAGCTAGTTTTAGAAAATGCACCTTTTCCCAAATGGTTTTCCACAATTTTGTCCACTTCTGTAGAGTTATGAATAGGCCCTTTTCGCTGATAGCTTTATTGAAGAGGTTTGCATTATGAAGGACAACGTGCATAGGGCTGTTTAATTTATACACTTCAAACTCATTTGGGGCTTGACTGCTGCGAAACCGATCACTGTGAATAAAAGAGAAAGTTTGAGTCAATGCTTCTGTGACTTAAAAGCCATTAATCCTCAAAAGCTCAGAAGCAATTTGCTAAGCACTTCCTAAGTTGCAAGGCGCATCTTAAATTAACGGCCAAAGCCTGTCACTGTTTTAGAAAATTGCTACTGTATGTTTTCCCTTGTAATTAGAAGTTTATACAATGGGGGATTGTTGGTAATTGGTTGCTAGCTTGCGTGGTCATTTTTACGGCACTGTGGGTTGCCACGATGAATGTCTTTATTTAGAAAGTTTCCGGGTTTTTTTCATTCTTTCAGAGTGCAATATTTACCATCGCTCTGATTTTATTAGTTGGGAAAATAAATGTTAGGCTTGCATGCAACAGTCCCTGTTTAGGAAAAGCTTCCTCCCCCCAATCTCTGCCGGATATCCTCTTCTTGTTACTATTTCCTACCTTTGCTGCAAAATTCTCAAACTCCCTCCCTACTTCAGTGGTGAAATCCAATTTTTTTTTACTACCGGTTCTGTCGGCGTGGCTTGGTGGACGTGGTGTGGCTTGGTGGGCATGGCTTGGTGGGCGTGACAGGGGGAAGGATACTGCACAATCTCCATTCCCACCCCACTCTGGGGCCAGCCAGAGGTGGTATTTGCTGGTTCTCCAAACTACTCAAAATTTCCACCAGCGGTTCTCCGAACTGCTCAAAATTTCCGCTACCAGTTCTCCAGAACCTGCTGGATTTCACCCCTGTCCTATTTCCTACTTTTTTCCCCGAGTGTTTTCAAGACCCCACACCTGGATAAATCAATTTTCCAAATTTTCTCTAGTTCCATGACGTCTTTCATTGCTTCTGGATTGCCCATGTGGCCTTCAGATGGTTTAAGTCTGCAGAATGTACAGATTTGTGAACATAGAATAGAATAGAATAATAAGGTTGGAAGGGACCTTGGAGGTCTTCTAGTCCAACCCCCTGCCTAGGCAGGAAACCCTACACCACTTCAGACAAATGATTATCCAACATCATCTTAACAACTTCCAGTGTTGGAGCATTCATAACTTCTGAAGGCAGGTTGTTCCACTGGTTAATTGTTCTCACTGTCAGAAAATTTCTCCTTAGTTCTAGGTTGCTTCTCTCCTTTATGGGTTTCCACCCATTGCTTCTTCTCCTGCCCTCAGGTGCTTTGGAGAATAGCTTGACTCCCTCTTCTTTGTGGCAGTCCCTGAGATATTGGAACACTGCTATCAAGTCTCCCCTAGTCCTTCTTTTCATTAAACTACTGATTACCATGTTTCTCCAAAAATAAGACCCTGTCTTATATTATTTTGAACCCTGAAATAAGCACTTGGCCTTATTTTCAGGGAGGTCTTATTATTTTGGGGCGTGTGGAGCAAGACGGGGGATCTTCTTGCCATCTTACCCGATTTCCAGCTGTCTCCCTAACCCTAACCAGAGGAAATGGCGGGGACTGGCTGAACATGCGTTTAAATATTTTTGGGGTGGGCTTATTTTCAGGGGAGGTCTTATTTTCGGGGAAACATGGTAGTTTAATGAAATATCTATTAGTTTATAATATAAAATACAAAAGAAAATAATAGGAAAATAAGGAAGGGAAGAAAGGGAAAGTGTAGGGAAAAGGGGGAAAAGAATGAAAAGGCTTTTTTTTTTAAATTTGATTTATATGCCGCCCTTCTCCGAAGACTCAGGGCGGCTTACAATGTGCTCAGCAATAGCCTTCATCCTTTTGTATATTTATACAAAGTCAGCTTATTGCCCCCATAATCTGGGTCCTCAATCTACCCACCTTAGAAAGGATGGAAGGCTGAGTCAACCTTGAGCCTTGGCGAGATTCGAACCCTGCAGTAATTGCAGGCAGCTGGTTTTAATAACCAGCTTAATAACAGGGTGCCTTAAAACCCTGTACTACCAAGGCTCTTGACTTCCGACTCCCTTTGGTGAAGTAGAATAAAATAATAGTATCAAACCTCAACTTTTTACTTTTACATAATAGTATAAACCAGCCATTTCTCTAACAACAAACCTATCTAACCGGTAAAATCCCTAATCAAAGTTTCATTTTTTTCCACCTCAGGCACCAAATCCAGAAGCGGTTTCAAAGTAGAAACAAAAAATAATTCTATTTTTTTTTCCTTGATCAAAGCAGTCAATTTAGCTATCTTTGCTAACTCCACCAATTTTTGCAGCCATTCATCCATCTTGGGGATCAAAATGTCTTTCCATTTTTGTGCATAAAGTAATTTTTCTGCCATCAACATATATAACATCAAAGTTCCCCATTTTTTTCCAAGTCTTTTTCCACTAAACCCAAAACAAAAGTTTCTGGTTTTATCTTTATGTTCACTTTGAGAATCTTCTGTAATAAGATGTGAATTTCTTTGTTGGATTTGTGAACATACAGTAGTGGCCAAAATTGTGGAAACATTTGGGAAAAGTGTATTTTCTAAAACTAGCTAATAACACTCCCTTTTTTTGGAGTAGTACCATAAAATTATATATCAATAGAGAGATAATTGCATCAAGAATGTAATGCAATAACTTTTATGAAGGATTTGCTACCCTGTTTCCCCGAAAATAAGACATCCCCTGATAATAAACCCTATCGGATTTTTGAGCGCATGAGCTAAAATAAGCATCCCCCTGAGAATAAGCCCTCCCCGAAAATATTTAAACGCAGAGCTGGAAATCAGGTATGATGGCAAGAGGAGCCCCATCTTGCTCCATGCACCCCAAAATATTAAGATCTCCCCGAAGATAAGGCCAAGCGCTTTATTTCGGGGTTCAAAAAAATATAAGACAGGGTCTTATTTTTGGGAAAACACGGTATTAGAATAGCAGTTACAGTATAAAGAAGAAAAGTGAAACACGAGATATACAAAAATGATCCCCATGTCAGTTAATGCTTAGTTGGGTAACCTTTAGCATGAATGACGGCCTTACAACGTCTTCCCATGGAGTGAACCAAGTGGCTCCATAGATTTGAAACTGGGTGAAGGTCTGGGCTATTCCCAGGCCATCCCAGCAGTGGAATAGGATTGTCTTGAAACTCCAAAAAAAGTGGTGTTATTAGCCATCAAACCTCAAAAATACACTTTTCCGAAAAGGTTTCCGCAATTTTGGCCACGACTGTATCTAGAACATGAAGTGAAGCAAGCAAGCTTATTTCCAAAAGTAGAAACACGTGAACTTAAAATGCACATAGAACTAGCTAGTTTTGAATCAGTAAATGGGTGTTTTTTTCCTCTTCAAAAATAATAAAGCAAGATCTTAAACTCTGGGCCACAGCTACACATTACACACCTACGTATGCTCTTTGCAAAAGATGAGTGATTCACATTCTAATAGTTGGTGTTTTTTTTAGGAACTATTTACATCCCTGGCACACATTTTTTAAGGAAAAGCTACAGGACTTCAGCGCTCTTCAGCCAAGAACTACTAATTATAATGATTAGCGAAGCATTTCTATGCAACCTTTTTCCAAAGCTAATCTGTCTGAAAACATGTTTAAAAATTAGCGTGAAACAATAAAGAAGTTGAAATTGAAGATCAAAATTTTTAAAACATTTCAACTTATACGTAAATAGATAAATAGATATGGATGGATGGATGGATGGATGGATGGATGGATGGATGGATGGATAGACAGACAGACAGACAGACAGACAAAGACAGACAGGGATGGATGGATGATAGATAGATAGATAGATAGATAGATAGATAGATAGATAGATAGACGATAGATAGATAGATAGATAGATAGATAGATAGATAGATAGATAGATAGATAGATAGATGATAGAATGGATGGATGGATGGATGGATGGATGGATGGACGGACGGACGGACAGACAGACAGACAGACAGAGACAGACAGATAGAGATGGATGGATGGATGGATGGATGGATGATAGATAGATAGATAGATAGATAGATAGATAGATAGATAGATAGATAGATAGATGATAGATAGATGATAGATGGATGGATGGATGGATGGATGGATGGATGGATGGAGGACGGACGGACAGACAGACAGACAGAGACAGACAGATAGAGATGGATGGATGGATGGATGGATGGATGGATGATAGATAGATAGATAGATAGATAGATAGAGATAGATGATAGATAGATGATAGAATGGATGGATGGATGGATGGATAGGGAGGGAGGGAGGGAGAGAGAGAGGGAGAGATGTGGGTAGGTGGGTGGGTACCCAGGCAGGCAGGCAGGCAGGCAAGCAGACAGACAGACAGATGATAAATAGATAGACAGGTACACACACACACACACACACACCAATAATGTGAGAAAAAGAATTGTCCAAGGATCCATTTACCTAGACCAATTATTGGGAACCTGACAAATATTTTGCCGTATATGCTTCATTCTTCGTCAGTTTTTCTTTAAGGTAACCGTTTGCCATAAGCACCTTCTGACTTTCTGTTGTACATTACTTTCTTTTGTTTTTATTTCCTGAATTGAAAACACATAATTTATAACCACTCAGAAACAAACAAAAAATAATAATAAAAAAAACCCAAGGAAAATGAAGCCACAAAGCTAGGAAGTGACTAATGGATGCAATTATAGGTGAACCAAAAACTTTTAACTTGCAAGGAAATAACCTTATTAGTCCAGCTTCCTGTTTTCCTATTAATCTGAGTGTGATTATTATGATTATGATTATTTTCCTCAGGAGGCGTTGTGGATAAGGATCTCCGTCACTACCTCAATCTGCGGTTCCAGAAGGGTTCGGTGGATCACGAGCTTCAGCAGATCATAAGAGACAACCTCTACCTCCGAACCGTGCCATGTGAGTTCAAAATAAAGGAGTGGCCAAAATTGTGGGAATCTTTTGGGAAAAGTGTATTTTTGAGGTTTGATGGCTAATAACACCACTTTTTTTTGAGTTCCAAGATAATCCTATTTCACTGCTGGAATGGCCTGGGAATAGCCCAGACCTTCACCCAATTGAAAAATCTATGGAGCCGACTAAAGTTAGTTGGAAGCGACCCAGCAATAAAACCCAGTTAATAGAAGCCATCATTCAATCTTGGTTTCACATGAGAACAGCTGCAGAACTCAAAGACTTGGTTCACTCCATGGGAAGATGTTGTAAGGCTGTAATTCATGCTAAAGGTCACCCAACGAAGCATTAACTGACATGGGGATCATTTTTGTATCTCTCATTTTTTCTACGGTGATCATTTTTGTATATTTCATTTTTTTCTATGTGCTTCACTTTTCTTCTTTATATCATAACTGCTATTCTAATAGCAAATCCTTCCTAAAAATTATTGCATTACATTCTTGATTCAATTATCTTTCCATTGATGTTAGCTAGTTTTAGAAAATACACTTTCCCCCAAAAGGTTTCCACAATTTTGGCCGCTACTGTATATATTTTGGGTTTTTGATAGTGTGTCAAGTCTATGGATTTTTACGCATGTCCTGGTGAATAATAGGAGTTGTGTTTTCATTCTAGTACGCTTGTGTGGCCATCTTGATTTATTCTTACGGTTTGGGCTCAGCTGGTGTTGAAAGTTTCATGTCAGGCGTGATAAAATGTTTAATGAGTTGACTAATTCTGCTGAAAACAAAAATTATAGGGTGTAACAAGTGGCATCCTATAACAGGTGGAATAGCCATATATTGTACGCAGATTTTTTTCAGTGGTGACTGAGTGGATCTGTAAATTTTTACACATGTAAAGATTTTGGAAGATTAAAGAATTGAGGGAACATTGTCTTTTAGCAAAAGCATTATTTAAGATTATATACTTGTATACTTTTAACACTAAAAAAAATTAATGTTGCCTTTGATCTGTAAATGTTTGATATACATACATTATATTCCAATATCTGGTAAAGAGAATTGCCGTCAGTGAGTTGGACGGCCATATAAATTTATTTAATATATAAAGACATATAAAGGTACATGTGGAGATATAAAACATGGATTTAATAACAGCCAGAATGGAGGCAGCGTTTGTAGTTTCATAAATCAGAAAATTGAAATGAGGATTTATTTTTCTTGATAAATGCTTTTAAACCAGCAGTGGAAATTAATTCTTGATTAGGATTGCTAAATTTACATTACAGGGTGATTAGTGGAAGATCCTTGTGGCTGTTATTTGTGTTGTATTGTATAAATATTTGGAAAGCTCGGAACTGAGTTTTTAAAATAATTGTGTAAAAAAAAGACTTAAACGTGTATATCTTTTGTTTAAAGTGGAAAGAGAGTTCGTCAGTAAACAAATGATCTGAAACACACCGCCTGAATGATAAAAGCACAATTGTTCCAAAGTTAAGAGGCTGACTAAAATTGAACGAAATGATCCTAGTAGTTCCTATCATTCTATTTTTATGTTATCTCAGATGTGAAACCAAACGGAATATAAATAACAAGGAAGCTGTAAATATGTTGGATTCCCTGCTTTATCCGAATGCCTGCTGGATCACAGGGGAAATGAGACGGTTGCTAGACTGATTCTCAGGAACAATATTGTGCCATTCCAGGGTTTAGATTTTGCTAGTGGATTATAGAGAGGTGTTGTGGTCCGCCAGCAGTCTGCAGAGTTGGTAGCGGAGTCGGACAGCGATGAGGCTGAGGAAGAACAGGGGCCAGTCCTGGAGGCTGGGGAAGGCCCGGATGAGGGCTCTGCGTCAGAGGCAGAGATGGGGCCAGGGCCATCGGGGAGTGATGTGCGGACTCCGGAGCCTCGAGAGGCTGACAGTAGAGAGGCAGAGGAACAGGAGGAGCCTGTTCCTGGTGCACGCAGGAGAAGAGCTGCCAGAAGGCAAGAGCAGCTACAGCAAAGAGGACGACTCAGGAGTAGGGCCAAGAGATGATTGGCCGCTCCTATAAGGCTTAAAAGACCAGCAACGGCTCTTGGGCTCTTTGTCGGAAAACAACGTTGATAGTCTTGCTGCACTTATCTCTGGTCGGCGTCTTCTGCTTTTGAACTTTTGCCAAGAGAAGCCTTTAGCAGTTTGCCTAATTATACCAAGGTTGGTGATTAGACTGAAGAATTTGTGTTATGAAGAGTTTGTTTTGATTTAGTTTGGACTATGCTGAGAATGAGTTAATTCTCAGCTGTTCTAATAAAGTCTGTTTTGGAACTGTTTGCATCGATTACTACCTACTTGGACCTGGGTCACAACAAGAGGGGGGAATAAAACTTGACAAAGTGTTTCTTCCTTTTGGTCTTTATTGGGATGTATCTATGGTTTTGCCTACACACTAACTTTTGTATGTTGATGAGCTCTATCACTCTGTCCGCACCTTGGAAAGAGTCTTTAGCCAAGTTCTCTGTTTTTTATTATTTTCCTTTGGTGTTTCCATACCAAGTCTTCTGCCTTTGATTTTCCTCTATTGATGGATGCCTAGAACCATGATTATAATCCTGGGGGTGAGATCAGGGATTGGAATTCCAGCTGCCTTCCGGATGATGTACAAAGTAGGTGGCCTCCATATGCTGTTGACAGCTGTTCTACTCCCAAGTATTGTCCCCCTACACAGGGACTATAAAATTTGTCAGTGGGAGTTACACATTTCCTTTGGGTCTCTAAGCTAGGGTTTCTAAGCTGCTAACAATAAACTGTTTAATGAAGTCATGTTTTCATTCTTGTCTCAGCCACATTTGTTTTGGATTTTTTTTTTTTTTTTTGCATTTTTGTTGGCGTAGGAAACATGCTTTCTCTGTCGTAGCACTTGGGATAGTATCCCCCAAGAGATCTGTAGGACTTCCTCCTAATAGTCACCCAAAAGTCCTTCCAGGTCCTGGAATAAGATGGTTGTTGAACCTCTGTCAGTTGTTGTTATGCACAGGGTTCTGTTTTTTTTTCCTTCTGGGAATCATGATCTGTTTCTCTATGGTTATGATTTCTTCCTTTTAAAGTAGAAGATGCAGAGTCTTTTGAAGTTGGGCAATCTCTAAATCTCTATACCTATATCTATATCTAATCTATATCTAATCTCTATCTCTATCTCTCTATCCATCCATCCATCCATCCATCCATCCATCCATCCATCCATCCATCCATCCATCCATCCATCCATCCATCTTCCATCCCTATCTATCTATCTATCTATCTATCTATCTATCTATCTATCTATCTATCTATCTATCTATCTATCTATCTATCTATGCGAAATCCACTCACTCATCACGAAATCTCCAGAACAGTAAAGCCTACAAATTTGAAATTTGGCACGTATGTTCCTCTTGGCTTCTAGGTGCTTAGTAAGAAAGGAATTTTTTTTAAAATGACTATCAGATCATTAGTATTTCATATATAGTATATTCGTATACAGTATATTAACCAGCTGTGATGCTAAGGATTTAGATGTTCTACTCCCCCTCCCCACCTGAAAAGAACTCTGTTCCAACTGCCACTTGCCTCACATTCTGTTACCTCAGTTCAAACTGGCAGACGTTCCACTCCTTCTCTCAGGAGCGGCCTAGGGCTCCTTACAGTACTAAATGTTGGTACCTCACCAAAATGTCCAAAAAATACAGTACTTTGTTGGTGATGATGACAATGAGAGGGACATCCATTGTGGAATCTACCTGGGCGTTACTCCAGAACTGGCTAGTTCAGTTTATCATGCCCAATCACATAGTTTCGTAGCAAAGCAGCCGTATATAACCAGCTAGTTATATATAAATATAATGCAACCAAAATGTTAATGATGCGAGAGATAAATTGCTTTTCAGGATCCGATCCGAATCGATCACTAAGACCAAAGTTTTATTCTTCCAAGCTTTCCAGTTCATGTTGGAACCCATCATAGGTGAACTCCTCTCTTTCCAAAATATATTCTACGCAGTTGTGTTATTTGTGGTTGTGTGTAGCTATTTAGTTCTTAGAGTTGTTGATGGCTGGCTATAAAATTGTTGGTTGTTGTTTCCTTGTGCTGCCACTCCCTCAGCTCCTAAGTACCCGAAAAGCTGGTGAAAAATCAACCTTCCTCTTCATGGACAAGGAATCTGTTTCCTGGGTGTCAATCATTTCTCTGGCTATTGTTGTCCTGCTCAGCCAACAATTGTTAATAACTGTGAAATTGAATGCATGTCTTTGTTCACTGCAGTGTGAAGCTACCAATGAGTTTGGGTCTCGTTGCTTTGGGTCAAGGGTTTGCAGTATAAAACAAAACTTGGTTGACCGCTGGCACTGCTAGTTGACAGAAATCCGAGTTATTGTTGACAGCACAAGCAAGATTTTGGTATGTGACCTTCCATATATGCTGGTTGAACATTCTTCTCCAGATGAGTGGTTGTATTTACAAAGCTGCACCATTTAAAGCAGGGGTCCTCAAACTTTTTAAACATGGGGCCAATTCACTGTCCCTCAGACTGTTGGGGGACTGGACCAACTGGGTGGGCATGGCTAGGTGGTCATGTGACTGGGTGGGCATGGCCAATTTAGCAGTCCATTAAACAATTTGTTTGTTATGCTCCTGGGGGTGGAAAGCAGGTTAGTGAAGGGATGTGGCTACCTTGGGGTGTGTATGAGGAATGTGTGTGTGTGTGTGTGTGTGTGTGTGTGTGTGTGTGTGTGTGTGTCCCTTTCTCTCTCTCTCTCTCTGGAGGCCGGTGAGGCCAAAAATTGGCCCGTTTTTGGCCTCCCCGGCCTCGAGAAGGCGGATGGGAGCCGGCAGGTAGGCAGGGCAATGTGGGCGGGGCAGCCTCGTGGTCCCATGTGGGCTGGATTAATGGCTTCAGTGGGCCGTATCCGACCTGTGGGCCATAGTTTGAGGACCCCTGGTTTAAAGTCTTGTTCATACATTTATTGCTTGCAAGATGAAACT